GTGACCACTACATTGCGCTTGGGTTCACTATCATAGCTGACGCTTTCCACACCATATGCCTTCGCTAGCTCATGGATAATTCTCCTGCGTTCACGCTTCATAGGTGGAAAACAGTGACTCCTCTTAGGTGGTTTACCCTGAGGAAAAACACAATTACAGAGCTCTGAAAAATGATACTAGAAGTGCTTCGATAGTGCACTGAAAAAAATGTTTCATTCATCCAATTAAAATTTTTTTTCCTGAATTAAAAAAAAAGGGTTTCATTAGTTTAAGCATTCAGGCCTTCACTTGGCTCCGTAGTAGACTAAACATTTAATTTATTATGTGTGTATATTCTACACATCATTTTTTTCTTTAAACTGTCAAAGCAAATGTGCAAGAACCCAAACTCGACTGGCAATTCTTTAGTGCACGGTTACTAGTGGTGTTCAGTCATAAGCATTTATTGCTTTTATAAGTAGGCTGAAATCCCCATTAATATGTTTAGAGCATGCATGCTTTTGAAAATACAGTCCTGTACAGTTTATACATTTGGCAAGCAACTGAACCTATTAAGTGTAGTGAATCAAACTGTAAGACTGTTTTTAAGAATGCAACAGAAGTATTTTAGTGAAATGGCTGGTGCCTTCATCGTGAGCTCTTTCTCAGAATTTGAGCTTAGTAATGTCTCATACAAACATGTCCTAGCTTTATGTACTGTTGAAACATTCTATTTTAGAATTTACACCACCTTGCATCTGTGAGAGAGTCACTATATTTGGAAGACGTTGACTTGTTGAAGGTATCCACTGACTGATCAATCAGCAGGGCCTCAGCCAGCCGCCTAGTGGCAAAACAGAAAACATCAAAACCTGCACACAGACATATCTAGTAATATATTCAGGCGCAGATAGAGGAAAAGATTGTGTGAATAAAATCTTTATGTTGACCTGTTCCTCTGCAGTGTAGCACATTCTTGATTACACTCCAACCTGTGAGAGAACAACCAAATAAAAAGATTACTCCACAACTGAAGTACATTTCTAACAATGTTTACCTTCTGAAGTAAAAGTGCCACTGTTAGTTTAATCCCCAAAATCAATTTTTACTTGCATTTTGTGGTTAATTCTGTACCCTGCTCTTCTTCAATGCAGCTTTGAACTTGTCAGAAACAGCTAAAACCACTAATGCTGTCGTTTACATAAGATAAACACTGACCCACAGACTACTCTTCAGGATGACTAATAAAAACAAACAGCCTTGCAAGCTTTAGTCTGTGAGTATACCTGGCCTTTCTCTGCTCTTACTTTGTGAGCTGTCCAATGTCTACGGACTCTCCCAGCTGCATATCTGACAGCTTACTGGCAACGGCAATAGTTGCATATCTGCAGAATATAGAGATGAAAATTATATTTGACCTCCGATCAGCTAGAATGTACAACATTGATAGCAATTTTTGTCTTATTTGCATATATATATATAATTCATTTTAAATGTATTGGCTTGCTGTGAGTGCACAATCATCAGTGGGGAAAAAAGAGTAAGAAAAGAAAATGCTTGTGCCAAATTATCAACATAAAACTTTGCTTTGAATGTCTATAAAGGCTTAACCTTTGGTAGGAACTAGCTGCATCAGCACAAGGAATGGGCTCTTTCGTTCGTTCACAGTCACACTGCAGTGCCACCTAGAGATTAAAAGTGGGAAATAAGTATGGCTATAATGTAAGGTTCACCATTTTGAAAACTGAGTGTCTATAGAAATAAAGGATATAGCCAGGGGTTAAATTGGGATTTGTTATGTGGTAT